AACAGAGAGAGAGACACAGCGAGAGAGGGAGCACAAGCAGGAGGAGTGGGAGAGGGAGAAGCAGGCTTCCCGCTGAGCAGGGAGCCCGACGCGGGGCTCGATCCCAGGACCATGGGATCATGACCTGAGCCGAAGGCAGACGCTTAACGACCGAGCCACCCAGGTGCCCCTATTCCTTCATTTATTAAGAAAATAACAATCCGCTTCTAAATGCCAGGGTCTGTTTGGGCACTTGGAACAGAACAGGTGGAAATTCTTGCTCCTGGTGCTGGAACACGAGCAGGGGAGACAGACAGCAGCAGCAGACAACCCTCCACCAGGACCCCAGGCTGGACCCGCAGGTCCCTCTGGGAGCGGCTGCCCCCCTCTCCAAGGCATTTCTTACCTGAGTCTTCCTCCCTTTGGCCTTCTGCTCCTCCCCGAACATGCCCAGCCTGTTCCCAGCCCTGGGCCTTGGCACGTTTCCTCCACCTCTCCAGGGCGCCGCAACTCTTAGCCCCGTGGGCACCCTATTTGGAATCTGAGTGCAGCATTTGCGATTTATTTGCCTGTTTTGTTTATTTGTATCTCCTTGCGCCATTGGGCTCCTGTCTCATCCACGGCTGTATCCCCAACACCTGGCCTGTGGGCCTGTAACATAAGAGGCACCTAATAAATACATCAAATGAATGAATGAATGAGCAAAGTGATTGATCAGTCTCTCATTTCCTGAGCCTGGTGGCCGATCGTATCAGGGAAATTTGAGGCACCTCATGCCCTCGGCCCTCTCCCCCTCCACCACCACCACTGTATCTCCACTTTGGCAGACGGAAGTGGACATTTAAAACCCCACGGAGGTCCTAAATCCTGATGGTAACATGAACTTGTCAGGCCATGGATTTCAAATCGCATCCCCTCTTGCTTGTGGCTCAGCAGAGTAGTTAGGGCACCGAATCCTGAGTCACCAGCCCAGTTCAGCCCTGGTCAGCCCCCTTCCTAGCTGGCTGAACGTGGGCAAGTCGCAGGACATCTCAGCTTCCCCATCTGTCCGATGGGATGGCCCTGGCACCTGCCCCGTGGGACTGTTGTGAGGATGGAAGGAGAGAGTGCTCGTCCCCTGCCTAGGGAGTGCTTGGCACCCGTCAGGGCTTGGGAGATGTTAGCTATCACATTCTGCCTTTTTGGCCATGTGACACTCGCCCCTGATTCTGTTCAAGTATGGCTTCTTGGGGTCAGAGTGACAAGGACCCTGCTGGGACCTGGTGACCAGTGCATCCCCCTGGCTCCTGCTGCCTTCTCTCCAGGACAGGGGAGCTCACTCAGCAGTGAGCAGTTGTGAATTTCTCTCTCCCCACCCTCACCCCAGCATTGACCAATGATAGCTGTTACTGTTCTTTCTTTCCACACAAATTGTTGAGCCCTTGCCACGTGCCAGGCACTGGGGAGAGAGGGCAGGGACCAGGACAGACATGGGCCTGACCTCCCCGAGCTGCAGCCTGGCCAGGAGGCAGACATCAGCAGGTGACACACAGTATCAGTCCACAATAATTAAATAGGGTGTGGGGAGCACCGAGGGTCCAGGGAGGGATGTGACCAGGTGGGTTATAGGGTCTGGAGGGTAGCAGGGCCCCCCGAAGTCCCTGTGCACCTGAGGCCTGGACAGTAGAAGAAGAGAGGCCAGGGATCAGGCCACAACCTTTCTGGGACAAGGGGCAGGCTGAGTTTGCGACGCCATCGGAGGGTAGGCTGTGGGGAGTGCAGATGATAAAAAGAAAGCAGGTGGGGCTGGAGGAAGGAGCAGGTCCTGACCCGTTGGGCCTGGCGAGGGTGGACGGGAGTGTGGGTTTCGTGCTTGGGCCACTGGGAGCTGTGGAAGGACACTGAGCAGGGTATAAGGGGATCGAGTGTGCCGACGTGGAACGTGGCCCTGGGTGCTGGGTGGGGAGCACACATCTGTGGAGGGAGACAAGACAGGGAAACCGGTGGGGGTCTATGACTGCTTTCTGGGCAGGAGAAGGTGGTGGCTTGGCCACAGTGAGGGCTGGAGAGATCCAGACTCTGCCCTGTGCTGGGCCTCACAGATGCCCAGAGGAACACTGCACAGTCTTTGCCCTCAAGGTGCCCCCAGTCCAGTCCCGACTCTGCACCCCTAACCGTGTGGGCAGGTTTCCACCATGACCTGTTTCCGCCAGCTGGGAGGCTGCCAGCCAGGAAAGGTGGAATTCCTTTGGTTCCCAGAGTTGCCCAGTGTCTGTACCAGTCTGCTTGTTGCCAGGGTGGGGATATTTTCCGGAACCTTCTTCTGAGGCATGGATATTGTAACCAATGTGTGTCTTTTCTTTTTCTTCTTTTTTTTCTTTTTCTTTTCTTTTCTTTTTTTTTTTGCTGCAGCCAACTGGGTACATGGAAAACTCAGTCTCCTACAGCGCTATTGAGGACGTTCAGCTGCTGTCCTGGGAGAACGCCCCGAAGTACTGTTTACAGCTCACAATTCCTGGGGGAACGGTCTTACTGCAGGTAGGAGAAACAAACATGAACAAGCAGTTTCTTCTGCCCTGCCTCCTATGCCCTCACCCTCCTCTTTTCCCTCAGAGGAAGACAGCCAACCACCAGGAGGAAAGGTTGTTTAGCTTAGGGTGCTTTTTTCTCCAACATAAGAAAGGTATAAACTGGGGCCCTCTGGGGGAAAGGAAGAGGGAATGTGCACAGACTGAGCTCCTACTGCATGCCTGCTCCAGCTCAGGAGTTTTATATCTTATGCTTTTTTCTTCTCTTAACAAGCCTGAGAAATAGGTCTTCTGGTCTCCATTTTACAGATGAGGAAACTGAGGCTCAAAGCCATGTTGTTAGGCCTTAAAAGGCTATAGAAAAGCAAGTAAGCAATGGGTGCCACATTTTGCTGTACTTCAAGTGAGGAGGAGGTTCTTCTTGTTGGTCTAAGTCCTGAGACTGTTAGAAATATGAGCTGTCTCGGGCGCCTGGGTGGCTCAGTCATTAAGCGTCTGCCTTCGGCTCGGGTCATGATCCCAGGGTCCTGGGATCGAGTCCCGCATCGGGCTCCCTGCTCGGCGGGAAGCCTGCTTCTCCCCCTCCCACTCCCCCTGCTTGTGTTCCTGCTCTCGCTGTCTCTCTCTCTGTCAAATAAATAAATAAAATCTTTAAAAAAAAAAAAAAAGAAAGAAAAAGAAATATGAGCTGTCTCCTTGGGAAGGGGTGCATTTTGTGTGTATCGATCGGGGCTGTTGGTTGGAAATGATGCAAACATTCAAACTCTGAAGCAAAAAGAATTTGAAGCTGTAACTATATTAAGGTAAATGGGAAGTCTAAGAGAGGCCTTCAGGCATAGTTTGATCCAGGAGTCCAGTGATGCTAATAGTCAGTGCCTCTCTCTCTCTCTCCATCTCCTGGTTCTGCTTCTGTGTGTTGGCTTCATTGTCGGGGAGGGTCTCTCCGTGCATGGGAAAGATAGACTTCTGTCCTTTTAAAAATGTGAGAGCCTATTTTCCTTTTGTATCTTTCTATAAAATCTCATAAAAAATTCTAATTGGCTCTGCTGTAGTCCCATGCATCCCAGGGAATGCCCTACCCTAGGTTACATACCCACCCTTGACCATAGGCAGCTGTGTACTCTGATAGCCCTACCAAGACCTTATGGTCGGGGAGAGGTGGGTCCACCAATAAAAGAATTGTGACAGAAAAAATTGCTGTAGTACATATACACGACATGTTCCTTATCATTTCAGGCAGCGCCATCCCAATTTCCAGCAGGGACCCCAAGTCAGAGACTCCTCATTAGAGAGAATATGCTCTCTTTGTTGGGAGAACAGGCCTTTCTTTTAGGAACAGTTTCTTTCTGTCACTCCAGGGAAACTGCCCTGAGCCCAAAGAGATGCTTCCCTAAAACATGTTTCCAAAGTGGCCACTAGATTGTGTAACAGCGTTCCAGCCAAGAGGCACACAGTTCAGCCTCTGAGGAATGCGGGCCTCAACGAGCTCACTGTAACAGCTAATTCTTTAGAAAAATCCTGTTCTTTACTGTCATCTTTTGGAGGACACCGAAACCATGCATGCCTGTGTGTTTTCTTCCTGACTCTGGCACCCTCCATACCCGGCCATCTTTCTTTCTTTCTTTTTCTCTCCTCTCTTCCCTCTTCACTTCCAGCCAGCAGAGTTCTCCTGTCTGTCCTCCCGGCCCGCGTGGCTGGGGCCTGAGCAGCAGAGGAAGATTCAGGGGGGCAATGATAGGGTTCTGTGAAGAAGCTGAGCTGGTCTGTCCCCTGTGCTGGGGGGGCGGGGAGGCAAGTGAACCCCTCGGCCCCGTCCTTGAAGAAGTCCAGGGCCCTCCGGGGAGCAGAGCTATAAACACATGGCTGCAGAGACAACAGCTAAAATAGAGGCACGTCCCGGAGGACTGGGAGCCCAGAGCAGGGAGTGACTCACTCGGTCTAGGGGTTCCAGAGAAGGCTCCCTTTACAGCTGGGTGTAGAGGGGTGAGTAGGAGTGTGCCAGGATGGGGGGCACGTACGCAGGGCAGAGGGAATGCGGGTGCAAAGCATGAATGTGGGAGAGGGGGAGGTACGTTCAGGGCTCCCTGGATGTGTCCAGAGCTGTTGGGTCATAGCCAGATCTTACTGGTCTTGTTGGCTGAGTGAAGAAGCCAAGGCTCTGTCCTGAGGGCAGTAGGGAGCCATTGAAAGCTCTTAAGTGGTGAAGGGAACAATGGAGGGATCCGTGTAGTTGCAGGGCAGGGAAGGCTGAATATGGGAGTGTCAGAGGGAGGTGGGGGTGGGGAGGGGAACCTTGAAATTGTCCCGCTGGAGGATGGAGGGCCCTGAGCCCCCATCTTCTTGGGTGTGTTGTGGTTGGTGCTTCGCCAGCAGGAGGGCCTCATTGCTTCTGGGGCCGGAGGGGGCAGTGTACCCCCCAGGAGGGCCGAACATCAGGGAGGCTTGGAGAGATGGGGGTTGCCCGGCAGTGGAATGTCCCTTTAACCCAGGCCGTGGCTGCAGGCCGGCTGTGATGACTCGCCTGGCTGGGGCTGCATCCGGCAGTGGCCTCACGTCAGAGCTCCCCCTGCCGAGCCGCCAGGCGGCCTGCTCCAGCATCCCCCTCGCTCGCTCCCTCACTGCCCCCCCCCCAGCTCCGGCTCCGTGGACAGAGAGGCTGGAGCAGGAGAGCAGGACTCGGAGCTAGGACGGGGAAGCAGACGCAGCCCTCTACCCCATTACTCGGAGAACCCAGGTGGGTGCAGGACCCCCCTCCCGCCTCAGTCTCTCCTTCTGCCACTTCCATCCACTTCCACCCTGCTTCCTTCTCATCATCACCCTCCTCCCCCCTCCTGTGATTCACGGGTGGCGTGTGGCTGTCTCGTGCTGTAAATGGCTTCCGAGTCATCTTGGGGGTGGGCTTTGGGCTGGGAGGCCCCTGTGATGGGGAGGCGGCTAGGGGGCACCTGGAGCCCCAGGCTGGTGCCCTGAGGGGCCAGGCATGCGCGCCTCACATGCCCTTGTGACAGTTGGCGGGATGCTTTGCTCTGGGTTTGTCCCGGTTCAGGTGGCAGGCCCCCGAGGGGTGGCATGACAGAGCAGTCCTCCCTGCTGTGGGTGGAGGAAGGACCGAGAACCGCCCAGGTGTGCCCGGGGGGCAAGGCCGATGGGACGAGCTCCGTCTGGGTGCTCCTGGTCGGCAGAGGATGAAGATGCCTTGAGTCGTGCTGTCCGACAGCAGCCACGGGCCACAGGGTGCCTGTGTTGTAACGTACCACGTCAAACGAAGAATGCAGATCCGAGGGCCACTGGCCACATTTCCAGCGCTCGGTAGCCGCCTGGACCTAGTGGTTGCTTATTGGGCAGCCCAGATGAAGAACACCTCCATCGTCACAGAAGGTTCTGCTGGATGGGGCTGGACCCTAGCACTTTTCATTCTGACCCCGTGCTCCACGCACTGCTTCCCTGCTGGAGGAGGTAGCCTCCCAGCGCCGGAGGGTCTGGAGTCTTCCAGCATCGCTGAAGAGGGTCGTGTCCCGCTGCACATGCGCGGCTGTTCCCTACCTAGGAGTGGTGTTGGGGCTGCAGGAGTCCCCACCCTCACCTGCCGGTCTCTCGCTCTGGGGGGGTCTCTGTCAGCTTCTCCGTATCCAAGTGAATCTGTTTCCTCCCCTCTCCCTCTCTCTTTCTCTCTCTCCCTCCCTCTCTCTCTCACCCACTCTCCCTTCCTCCTTATCTCTCCCCCATCCCCCTTTCTCTCTCCTTCTCTTTCTGTCCCTCTCTGTCTCTCTCATTCTCTCTCTCTCTCTCTCCCTCTCTCTGTCTCTTGCTGTGTTTCGCTCTCTGCTTCTCTTGCAGTTTCTTTTTCTCTGATGTCTTTCTCCAGGCCTCTCTCCACGCCAAGCCCTTCTCTCTGTGCCTCTCAACTTAACTCCCTCTGTGCCTCCTCCTCCCTCTGTTCCTCCCGCTCCAACCTCCGTCCCTCTCCCAGGAACCTCCTTACAAAGCTGCTTTGTTAGAATTTGAATCGGTGCCTCACTCAGACCCCTGGGAGCTGACCTATCCGAGTTCAGGGAAGGTTAAGAGCCGCTCTTAGGCCAACGTGCCTTCTCCCAGCCCAGAGACACCGAGCACTCTGCCAGCAGGTCGCGTCGCCAGACAAAGGCGCCAGCCTCCCAGCCTGGTCCAATTGGTGTGTTTCTGGATGCTTTGTGTTTTTCAGCATGAGCTCCCTAATGCCATGTTATTAGAATCCCCGGGTGCAGAAAGGACCTATTTATCTTCTTTACCCCCTTAACGCCTTTTGTGCTGGTGTTTCATTGTGAGGAGGTAACTACATACGAACATAAACGGCCCGATGAAAGCATCCTGGGGGGCTCCTTGCCGGCCCATGGGGTGAGGTGGCCAGCATTTAAGAGCCCCGTGGTGCTGATCATCTGGGGATCTCGGCCTCGCGGTTGGGTGTCCGCCCGTCCAGGGGAAGTAGACAGAGCCCCCTGCTCTGTTTCGGGCGGAACCAGAACAAGGAGACTCTCCTTTCCTGATGGTCTCCGAGACTGGCTCTTCTCCCAAGAGGATCTCCAGAGGCCAGGCGTCAGGGGCAGGGACAGGGTGGGTTCCCTTCTTACTGGAAGCCGGCGAGAAAGAGCTTTCCGGTCCGAAAAGCACGTGCTGTTTTTTCCCTAAGAAGTTGGGCCAGGAAGGAGAACTTGGGAACAGTCACTCATAGTGCACCCTTGGCTGTTTTTCTCACCTCTCGAGACAATACAACAATGAGAGAGAACTTGGCAACTTTCGAAGAGGAAATTAGGCAGAATTTGCCTGGAACGGGGCCCTTCCAGTATTCGAAAGATTTATCGCTGGGAGAAGTTGGCGCTGGCCTGAGCAGGCCTGCCTGTTTCCAGGGGCTCTTTCCCATGCTTGAATCCAGTGACCCTCAAGACTCTGAGCTATGTCCCGTGTCCCATGGGGCCACGTCGTCCTGGCTTGGCTGCCCGCACAGCAGTATGGAATCTCTGTGCAGAAACTCGC